TATATAAATGTATTTGTATATTATGTTAATGAAATATATTTTGGCTGGTTGGTCATGAGTGGGAATTGCATCGGTCAATTTCCCGGCACTCTTCCTAATCCGAGTTTGAGATGGAATGAGATCCAGACGTAAAGTCTTGTCGGCCGGGAAGGGATTTTTTCTATTGATTTTTGACTCCCTTCTAGCCTTTAAATAAGGTGTTCTTCTATTTCTCCATGAGGGAAAACTCTTTCGAGATGGAGCAATGCATCTCTATCTTGAAAGCCCGCCCTACAGATATGAGTTCCTATCTCGATTGCCTATCCAACCCGAATACTCTTATTCGTGGTGGATTGCTTCGAGTAGGATGGATCCGATCCCATCCCAGCAGTCAAACTCCTTCGTGATCTAAATCTGTTCTGCATCTATGAGTGCATGCGAAAACTTTCTCTTTTATTGGTGTCTAATAGGTAGGCTATTAGATTGAGTCGAAAGCCTACAAACACATAAAGGTTTCGATTCGAGCGAGAGTCCGAATAGGGATCTTCCAACCGTCATACCTTGACGAGTCATACTTCATTCAATTTTACAGTCATACCTTGACCAGTCATACTTCACTCGATTTTCTGCATAAACATAGGAGGTGAAAGACCGGAAGAGATATATGTCAATTCAATTATGATTGTGCTGTGGGTTTAGAGTAATGTTTTATGGTTAAACTCATAGTTGGTAGTTAATTATGTATGATGAGGTAACTTGTGTCCATGGAGAATTTGAGGGTGAATTAGTGGTGGATTTTTACTTTCCGAATACTTACTTTAACAATTCCACTTCCGTTATGGAGTCTTCGTTTTTTCGTTACACATTTCAGAAGTTGAAGGAGAAAACATAACTCACATCTTAGATTATATTCTATTCCATCATATAATATCATACACAACCCAAACCTTTGTTCATCTTTTCAAAGTTACAGACGCATGGAAGAAGACACCAACAAGACAAAACCCATTTTCAGAGAGACCATTTATTCTGATTGACACATAACAACTGATCCAAACATGAGCGGAGACAACAAAATTGTCTAACCAGAGATGTCAATGGACTTGATTTCTGGTTTCTTCTCTTCCATTTTGGGCACCGTCACAGTGAGAACTCCATTCTCCATGCTGGCCTTCACCTCTTCAACTTTGGCATTCTCCGGCAGCCGGAATCTCCTCATGAACTTTCCACTGCTTCGTTCGATTCTGTGCCATTTGTCGTTCTTCTCCTCCTGCTCTTTGCTTCTCTCTCCACTGATCTGCAGAACTCTTCCCTCTTCAACCTCCACTTTCACTTCCTCCTTTTTGATCCCTGGAAGATCGGCCTTGAAGATGTGGGCTTGTGGGGTCTCCTTCCAGTCGATTCGAGTGTTGGCAAAAGCAGAGGTTTCAGAAGCAGAGGAAGGGGCATTGGCCAATGCGGTGGAATTGGAAAATGGGAAGCCATCGAGCGGATCCCATACATCCAGCGAGAAGGGGTCGAAGATGTTGCTTCGTCGGCCACCGAAAATGCTTGGAATCAGCGACATGCTTCTTCAAATTTTGTTGAAACTAGAGAACGCAGAGAGAGTGATGGTGGATTGAATTGAAAGATTGAAATTTGGGGGAAGTGGGATTTCGTTTGCTGCTTGCGAATTTCGATGCCCTTTCACCGCTGCATTTGAAGCATTTAAATAGGTGATATAGCAGAACTGCGAGTGGTTTCGTGGGGTTTCTGGTGTTTTCCTTGTGATTTCTCTTGAGGATGAAGGTTTCCACAAGCTTCTACTTCCTTCTGGACCCATTTTGGACTTTCTCTTCAACAATAAATCAGGCCCAATCAATTATGAGCTTAACAATTTTAACAAATTTTAATCTCATTCGTTACAATGCTAAATTTAAATCAATGGTGAAAATTAAACGTACATTTAGAATAAATGGTGCAATTAACATTCTACCACTCACAAGGTTTTGATAGAGGAGAAGAATGCACGTTTTATTTTTTTCATAAAATAAATAATTGTAAAAAAAATTAGTGGTGGGTAAAAAGAAAAATTGAGAAATTTTCATGGATGGCAATTCACGTTGTTGTATTTTTAAATATAGCAACAAAATGATGTCACTTAACCTTTATAGATTGATAAGACTATTTTAGTAGGCACGTCGATGGTAGAAAATCACATCAACGAGACCTCCAAACACTTAAACATAAAAGATTTTGGACTTTAAGCCTAAGGCAAATTTCATGTCTAAATTCCGAATGAAAATAATTATAGGTTGTAAATCTCCCAATTTCAGCAATGTTGGTTTCAATCGTTTACGCACTAGGAGAGGATTGTGGTTGAGATTCAAGGTAGGAAGCCTCATAGCCAAAACTGAGGAATCACACTTCGCAACCTCATTCAGACTCAGGCTTTTGTAAAAGTGCTGAAGTATCATGAGGAATTACTTTCAACCGCTCATCTACTACAAGTTTTAGGTCGGGAATCTTGTAGTTGTGCTAAGTGACCAGGGAGTGGAATCTACCTTTCAACGCATATATATATAGAGATAGACTCCATATTCACATCGGCGAATCAAATTGTTTATCTCGAAACAATACCTCAAATTCCTAGTCAGCCTTGAAGCTCTCCTCTTTCTTTGTGTTGGTTCTCTTTGCACTCTTCTAACTCTACTCATATTCTCCAAGTGATTATAATCACCATTAACAACCAATTTCATTGATGCCGAATAATCGTGACACTCCCAAGTTTCTATATATAACTTCTTATTAAATTGGCAGTTGTCACTTAAACTTTCAATAGTTTTATTTATATTCGCATAATTTTCATAATTGTCAAATAATATTTAAGTTAAAGAAAAAAATCTTTCAATACTTTTATGATTAAAAAAAATACATTTAAGTTCTATGCTTTTCCATTAAGCAACGATTTGTCCTTGAGCCCTCAAAACTAATGATTTAGTTTATATAATTCCTAGGATTTCATTATTTTTCTTTTGAAAGGTTTATCAAAACGACATTTTGAACGTTGACCATAGACCTCGGAAAAGTAGGGTTAAAGTTGACTCACTCAGCACTTAAAAAGTGAAATATTTACAGATTCTATAATAGAAATAAAAATGAAATTCCAATTGGTGTAGAAAGTTGGAGAAGACTGGAATTTTCTAGAACTTCTCTCACACTACTTTTCAAACAAGGAAATGAAAACACCAGAAAAGGCGGGAAGGGCCTCAAATTCTGTGTTTCATCGTATTTAAAGGCTTCAGTGTTCCTCAATTCCGCAATCAGCAACAAAACAAGAAACAAAATACTAATCCACACTCTGTGCAATCTTTACTCAAAGCTAGTTTCAAGAGCCAAGCAAACACGATGTCTCTGATTCCAAGCATTTTCGGTGGCCGCCGAAGCAACATCTTCGACCCATTTGATGGGTTTCCGTTCTCAAACTCAATGGGCATTGCCCCTTCCTTCGCCGGCGAAGTCTCTGCTTTTGGCATCGACTGGAAGGAGACCCCACAAGCCCACGTCTTCACCGCGGATCTCCCAGGGAACAAAAAGGAAGAACTCAAAGTTGAGGTTGAAGAGGGCAGAGTTCTGCACATCACTGGGGAGAGAAGCAGACAGCATGAGGAGAAGAACGACAAATGGCACAGAATCGAGCGGAGCAGTGGAAAATTCATGAGGAGATTCAGGCTGCCGGAGAATGCCAAAGTTGAGGAGGTGAAGGCCAGCATGGAGAATGGAGTTCTCACTGTGACGGTGCCTAAAATGGAAGAGAAGAAGCCAGAAATCAAGTCCAATTATATCTCTGGCTAAATTTCTTTGTTGGTCATTGTTTGTGTCTGTGCACTCCAATGTTTGCAAATCTCAAGGTCTTTTAAGTTGTCTAATGTGTCTCCTTTCTTCTGTTAATAAAAGTATAAAATAATTACTTTGCTTCGTCTTTTGACCTTTTAACAAAATTTGGGGTGGAAAATAGTTTATTCTTTCTCATAACTCATTATTATTTTTAAACATATTTATATCCATAAGAAGTCTTCACAACTAAAAACAACTAAAAAAATCCATTTTATTTCTCGTCATTAAATATTTGACAATTAACAAAGTCTCATGCTAAATATTTGACAATTCAGACAACGTCTTTTTCATGAGAAGTCAAGTATTTTCCAAAAATTAACGGGTTCAATATCGTAAATAATTTGAAAAAATAAAATAGAAGATATCGTCTTCCTCACCATCCTTGAGGAATCAAGTATTTTCCAATGAGCTCAATATCACCAATAATTTGAAAAACATAAAACAGAATACATGTATCACTACTAAACATAAAACAAAAGACATGTATCACTGCTTGATTGGATAACTTTCTAGATCTCAAAATTGGATGGAGTCTGCATAAAATTTGTGAAAAATACTTTTGACAACTAATAGAGAGAAATAAAAAAACCTCAAATATTTAATAATAAGGTCGGGAGAAGGTTTCTTTAGCAAGTATTTTCTAAAACTTATTTTCAGGATTGGGTTGTTAATTTTATAGTTTCTAATGTTGATGGAGTCTTCTTGTCTCTAACATTTTTTTTTTACAGGTCTCTTAGGCTTTGAGATCCACATTTTTTCTTTGCAATATACCTTTATCTTGAAAAAATATATTTCCGTTTTATACTATCATCAGTTTTCAATTTATTTTTCTTTTTGAAAAATAATTTGTGCAACAACCTCACCATTGAAAAGAATTTAAAATTTTTTGTTATCTAAAAATACCAGAGTACAATCAAAGTTTTAAATGTTATGAAAATGTGAAGTCTCAATTTCACTGAAATATGATAGAAATATAGATAAAATAAATTATAAAAAATTATAAAAAAATATTGTAAAAACATTTAAATAATCAAATAAACATTTCTCAATTTTAAAATAAGTTAAAAATGATTAATATTAATATTATTTATATATTTGTATATATATTTTTTTGGGGATGTTTTGTTGATTTTGTCTAAATGTGCCAATGGAACTCGTAAACACATGAACATTGTCTACGAAAATATCTTATCATTAGTACAAAACAACTTTCCGGGAGAAAGCTGAGGACAACATGGAGAGAGAAGAAACAGAGCCTCATGTCCTGATTTTCCCCTTCCCAGCCTTAGGCCATGTGAATCCAATGCTCAAACTCGCCGAACTTCTTTCCCTCTCCGGCCTCCGAATCACCTTCCTCAACATCCACCGCCTTCACCAAAACCTCATTCTCCACACAAATCTCCAATCTCGTTTCTCTCGCTTTCCCCGATTCCAATTCCGCATCATCACCGACGGCCTTCCAGAAGCCTTCAATGGCGGCTTACAAAAGTTGTCTGAGTTGACTCGGAGCATGGAAACCGTAACCAAGCCCCTTCTCCGGCAGATGCTGCTCTCGGGTCAACTGGGTCCGACTCCGACCTGCATAATTCTCGATGGGTTCTGCAGTTTCATCGTTGATTTCGACGCTGAACCTAAGATCCCCGTTTTCTGTCTCTGCACCGGCAGTGCCTGTTCTTTCTTGACTTATTCATCTATTCCGGGGCTAATTAAAGATGGGCAGCTCCCGATTAAAGGTAAAATCCACAATCAATATTCAATTCCTCGATTTCCCCCAATCTCTGTTACAAAGTTTAATTAAATTTCAGGGGAAGAAGATATGGACAGGATGATCGAAGGCGTGGATGGGATGGAAAATCTTCTCCGGTGCAGAGATCTTCCGAGATTCACGCGAGCAGGGGACCAAGCCGATTGGATTCTTCAATACAGTGCGAGCCAGACCATACGAAGCTCTGAAGCTCACGCTCTCATATTGAACACATTCGAAGAATTAGAAGGGCCGATTCTGTCGTGTCTTCGGAGGCGGTGCTCCAATATCTACCCAATCGGGCCTCTCCATGCCCACCTGAAATCCAGACTTTCCGGTGAAATTCTGCGCCGGAATCGGAGTCTTCCAACGGCGTTTGGGAGGTGGATCGGAGCTGCCTGGCGTGGCTCGACGCTCAGCCGCCAAGATCCGTCGTCTACGTTAGCTTTGGAAGTGTTACGGTCGTGGGAAATCACGAGTTCATGGAGTTCTGGCACGGATTGGTGAAGAGCGGGAGGAGATTCCTGTGGGTGGTACGGCCCAATTTGGTGGCCGGAAAAGATGGGGAGAGTGGGATTCCGGCGGAGTTGGAGGAGGGTACGAAGGAGAGAGGGTATATGGTGGGGTGGGCGCCGCAACAGGAAGTGCTTTCCCACGAAGCAGTTGGAGGGTTTTTGACCCATTGTGGATGGAACTCGACGTTGGAGAGCATAGCGGCGGGCGTGCCGATGATCTGCTGGCCGCAGTTCGCAGACCAGCAGACGAATAGTCGCTATGTGAGCGAGGTGTGGAAGATTGGGCTGCACATGAAGGATATGTGCCGCAGAGAAACAGTTGCCAAGATGGTGAATGATCTGATGCAAAATAGGACAGAAGAATTGATGGGATTTGTGAGTGAGACTGCAAAATTGGCTGCAATAAGCGTGGGAGAAGGTGGGTCGTCTTCCTGTAATTTGGAGCGTATGATCAATGACATTAGATTGCTGAATCGAGGGTGGAGAATTAGTGCAAATGTGTGATAGTTTATTTGTTAATGTTTTCATATTTTTATGAATTATGCTTAGTAGTTAATTTAATGGGTGGTAATTAACTAACTAGTAGATGACTGGATGTGTATGCAGGGAGAATTTGTAGGTTGGTGGCTTAGTGCAGGTGTGGTGTTGGTTTAGAGAGAATTTGATGGGTAGTAGGTTAGTGGTCCGTTGTTTACTTTTCCTATAAATATTTGTAACAATTCTCAATTGAGTGAATAGAAGCTCTACCTTTTGTACACTTTTTCAATTATTTTATTTTGTTGTTCTCTTCATTTTTTTAGTTCCAGAGTGAGACCACCTACTAAGAATCTCTATGTTTTTCTGTGGGAGAGAGTTGCTTAGCTTAATTTGTGTTCTGTTATTGTTGGTTTTGCCACCCATTCCATTTCTTGTGTTTCAAAAGCTGATTGTTTTTCAATGGAACTTTTCAAAGTTGTTTGTTGCAAAGATGGTTTTTTTTGTTAGGAGTTATGTTTCGTTTTGCCCGAATCATGCACGCCTGAGTTTCTCAAGTTACATGTTGAAAACCATAAAGTTGAGGAAGTCTATCCCAAATACTGAAGTACTTTACAATTCAATTGTGGTGTTATGCGATTCGATCCACGATTTAGGTTAGATCGTTCTTCATATGTATTCTTGATTTTAATAATTCGATATGCATCTCACAGAAGATTGTTGCTTCCGTTAGCTAGTACAAACTTGAGGAGGTTTGACCAACGAATGTGCTCTACATGTGGTAACGAAGTTTGGAGAGGTTAAATTTTATAAAGATTGGTGGAGTCAAAACAATGGAAAAATTGAGAAAATGAACGAAATTGAAAGGAAGAGATTGCAGGAGTCTGGCTGGCCGAGAGCACGAGCATCTCAACATTGTGATGTATCTGAAGAAAAGGCAGAGGCACGTATCACTACTTTGTTTTCTTTAGGTTTTCCTTACTATTGCAGGTGAAGAAGTGAGCCTGTGCACAACATTTCTGCACATCAAATGAAGGGGAAGGTGACGTTGGGAGTTAGCACTTGAGAGCACTAAAATGCAAGGAGTTAATTATTAATAATAATTAATTAATTATTTAAATTATTAATCTAACTAATAATTAAATTAATTTAAATTATTAATCTAATTAATAATTAATTTACTAAATTTAATTAATAATTATTAATCTAATTAATTATATATATTAATTAAATGAATAATTAACAATTAATTATTTAACCTTTAATTAAATATCACATATTTAATTAACAACTATAATCTATTTCAATTCATATATTGTTTGAATCCTGTTTAAATAATTCTCTTGTAATATATTATTTAATTTTTGAATCTTTATTAAAAATATATATATATAAAATGTATCATTATATACATTATATATCCTTATTTATATAATTTGAACATTTCAGATTCACATTCGTTAACTATGGGTCACTCCACTAAAGACCCACAACTGCACTATTCTCATTGTATAATATTTATGTGTCCATGGATATCGACCATTAACAGCAAGTCAATCATTTACGAGTGTTCGTAACTCCAGCTAGGTCAGATTACTGTTTTTCCTTGAGCATCTTGCCATACTTAACTACCACTACTTCTCTAATGAACAACTTGTTTATGGTCCAACCATTAAACAGAGGTCCGTTTCGAGCCAGTGAGGGTGGGACCCCTTGTTCAAGTTCTAGAATCAGGATTTAAGGGAACGCTCATCTAATTACCCTAAAGGCGATAATGAGTGAATTTCATCTTGCGTATTTATGTTCCCAGTTTATCACTCGGTCTCGTCTCCAAAATGGTATAATTATTGAGTCAGCAACTCGGGCCACTCTCACCCATACAAATCAAAGGACGGTTCCTTATAGGCAGGAGTCCATAACTCGTTCAGGATTAAGATCGAGTTACCCGGTCATCCTATGAAATATTAATCTAGTTAATTTATGGTGTTATAACTAAAGATTAATTATTTCGCGGTCCGGTCTTATACAAACTCATTGTTTAAGATACTCCCACTCGCATGTCTCTAAATGAACGACCTGGATAGAGTCGTTTGTAACTATTACAAAGCAGACCTTATCCATAGTGTTACCATGATAATATATCCAACTTTATCCATGTAGTATAGATCATTTCGGTTATTACTCAAACATTATCCACTTGTATATCGAATATACCAAAATATCATCTCTTCACTAGGTTCATACCATTGTTAAGGACAACGTTACTCAAAATATCCCACATATCTCTACAATGGATAAAAAATGACTGCAGCTGGAGTTGAACTTGCACCCCTGAAGGCTAAGTAACTCTCTCACACAGAAAATTGTCTTCAAACACATTGCACATATTATATTATAATAGAATTCGACTTCATTCGAAATTCATCCCAAGTTATTGAAACTTGCTCGTGAATTTGCAAATTTCATAACTAAGGAGAGGTTTTTTCGAACTCTCCCGAGTTTTGCATGATTCTCGGGCAAGGTTTCTTTTAAAACGCTCAAGTTTTAAATGAATCTCGGGCGTATTTTCTTCAAACTCGCTCGGATTTTTCCTGAATCTTGGGTGAATATGCACTAGTCTCGAGCGAGATTTATGATTTTTTAGCGAGATTTATGCAATCTCGGGTGAGATTTAAGCTCGATATTAATGATCATTGGCCATAACTCAAATTAAAAGAAACAAATCAAGGTGCCGAGATTTATGCAATATGGATTCAAGTTCGAGATTTATGCTCATTATAATTTCAATGAACTCAAATAAAAAAAATCATTCGAGATTAGAGTTGTATCTCAATCTCTATTCGAATGGAAAGAAAGTGACGAAAATCAAAATCGATAAATAAGAGAAGAGAAAGAAAATCGAATGACAAGAGTAAAAATAAATAAAGAAAATGAGAAGGGGCATAATAGTTCGAATAAAAGGTCTCACTACACTTACTTTTACAAATCGATGTGAGAAATAATATTATATGAAAAAACGGAAGTGAAGAAGAGTAGAGAAATTTGAAAATACAAAGAGAAATAAATGGATGAGGGTCACAAGGGAAGATAAGGGGCATCATTGTAATTTCATGATTCCTTTAATTTAATAAAAAATTGATTAAAGAAATTTTGCAAGGTTAGACATTTGAGCAAAGTGAAAACTTGTTTAGATTATTGGTGTAAATTCTCCGCGAACAGGTAGCTAGCCGATGACGCACTACAACCCAAGATCCCGACCTCCTCTTTGCTGTCAAACATTGCCTCATAGTCGCCCCTCAATCTTTGTACCACAACATAATTAAGACCTAAATGAAAAATGATGCCTTCTAAAAAGAATTTGTCATAGTGTTGAGACATTGTCCATAGCTTCTCAACGCTACGACCAAGTTCAGCATCTCCACATCTGTGTTTTTTCTTTAATTTGGGACAACGTCGAGATGCTTCCTACCATGAAGATCCATAGGCTCCTGCAACATTTTAAATCCTCTTTTCTTCTCCTTCCATTTTTTTTAGCTTCACCAATTACAACATATTTATACCATTTCATCTCTTTTTTTTTTGTTTTTAATTTTTTAAGTTAGACTTAGTTTAAATTTTAAATGCATAATTTGTTAAATCCGCTAAATCAATCTTTTTAAAGTTTGTCTTAAAAAAAGCTTTGAGAACAATAATGGGGCACAAGAGAATTAAAAATTTTTGGAAAACTGTGTGGCATAGGAGATTTTTTTCTAAAAAGGAACCATTTTTAAAATTGATTGGTAGATTTTGTAAGAAATTTTTTTTAAGAAGTCGTTATATACTTTTTTAGTTATATCTAGTTTAAAGTTTACTTCTAAAACAAAAAATAATCTTAAAAATACTATGGGTCATAGGAGATTATTTTGAAGAGCGATTCTCCTTTTTTTCATATCCACTGAATTAAATTAAATGGATTTAGTGATATTTATTTGATAATTTTTTTAATTTGTAATTAAAATAGTAGAAATTCTAAAAACCGTTCAATATTTTCGAATTCTAAATTTGAATCATTAAAATATAAAATAATATTAAAAAACCTAAAAACTTTGATAATATTCTATTTCATGCCATAAACTCAGTGATTTTTGTTAAAATTAAAACATGTAAAATATAATATATTATAAACTATATAACACGGTAAAATAATAATTTTACAAAATTTTTAACAAATTATATTATTAATTAATTAATTAATAATGATTTAGATTGAACTAAATATTTAGTTAGTAACCACCACTAGTTTACAAATAATATTTTAAATTAAACTAAACATACCTTAAACAATTTTTTAAAATTGAGATTTAATTTTTAAATCTGCTACCAAACACATATTCGAAAATGAAGCATAAAATACAACTATATTTTCATTCAATAATTTATTTTTAGCTTTCTATTTTCAGATCACCAACCAACGCATCCTTAATTTGTAATTTTTCATCATCAAAGGATATATTTATATATATATAATTCTTCTACCATTTTTCATCAATACTTTGAACTCCATTTTTTTTTCCTCTCTCCCAAAATTTGTAAAACACTACCAAAAAATTTATAATTTTCAACCCAATAGCTTTCATTTTAACAGTAGTTCATAAAACTATTCTTAACTCCAAAATAAGTTATATATCTATATATTCGTTTTAGTAAAATAAGAGGCAGGTTAATATAAATTACATAAATTAATTTTAATTATTAATAGAATTACAAATTGCATAATATTAACTTAATAATATTAAACGTTTGGAATTATTTTATTAATTAGAAGAAAAAATATGGTGCACGTGGTGGTAATTAAACCTAGTATAAAAAGAGAATCTTATAAGGAAAAAAAATCAGAAAATTATCTCCAAATGTAAAACACATCCGCCATATAATATGGTACAAAATGGGAATGAACAAAGCATTCAAAATAAGAAAGAAAAGAAAAATGGAAGTGGCGAATGATGCTTCCATGGCTGCACGGTGCTCAAAAAATATTGTCATATTTGTCCTCAATTTGATGCCCAAATTCAATGGCTTTGCTCAGAAAAAGTGTTGAGATATTCGTCCTTTTGATGCCAACGGCTCCAGGTTTGTTTAATATAATTTTGTCTCCATCTTTCCAACTGCTATAAATTCACCCATTCACCTCTACATTTCTCCACAGTTCATACAGTTTTATTTATTAATTAATTTCCTTTAGCTCTCAGTTTTATTAATTTTCTTGATCTGTCTGGTAAGAGATTTTCAAATGGCAGAGATGGGGAAGTGGTATCATGCCGCAGTGTTGGGTCATGGAAGCAGCAGCTTCTCAAAGCCAAACAATACAACAAACTGGTATCGTATTATTACATATTCTTCATTATTCCACAGGTTTTTGACGTAGCTAATCAACCTATTGTCATTATTGACAGGTTGTGGTGAAGTTCACTGCGACGTGGTGCGGCCCATGTCGAGCCATGGCTCCTGTTCTTGAAGACTTGGCCAAGAAGACGAGCAATGTCATATTCTTGAAAGTGGATGTCGATGAGCTAATGGTAAATTGCTTAATCTTATTCATTAAACCTGGTGGCTAAGTGTGGATTATTTACATTATTTTTTCCTCCTTTTCTTTTTGCAGAGTGTTGCTAATGAATTGGGAGTGGGTGCCATTCCTTCCTTTCAATTTTTCAAAAATGGGAAGTTGGTGGACAAGTTCGTGGGTGCAAACAAGGATTTATTAAGAAACACTCTATCAAAACATGCCGCATGAAACCGCTCTACAAGGATGAAGGATGAAGCTTTATATAATAGAGAACAATTAATATGCTGCAAAATAAGTTTAAGCAAAATTAAGTTTTCTTTTTTCCCTTTTTGTGTGAGTTGATCAGAAACGTGGTATTCTAACCTCAGTGAGGTTAATAATTAATGTTCTATTGTTTTAATGAATTGAGTTATGTAATCTTTAAATTCTACCATTTTTAATTTTAAATATTTATTTTTAAATATTTATGTTGAATTTTCATATATAACTTTATATAATAGAGAATAATTAATATGCTGCAAAATAAGTTTAAGCAAAATTAAGTTTTCTTTTTTCTTTTCTTTTTTTTGGTGAGTTGATCAAAAGGTGGTATTCTAACCTCTACCTTCAAGTGAGACTAATAATTAATCTTCTATTGTTTTAATAGGTTGAGTTATATTGTAATCTTCAACTTCTACCCTTTTTAATTTTAAATGTTTATGTGCTATATTGAGAATTTGAGATCATAAAGTATTTATATTCGTGACCTGTATCACATAAATATTTTATCGGATAATCTATTAAAGTTTAATAAGTTTAAGCTTCTTTTTAATCTTTTTATTCTTCTAATAATTTACAAGTCTAGCTATGATCATTTTATGGTAACTAAATTTAGGTTAAGTGTATATTTAAGTGTTTTTCCTTCTTTCCAAAATTTTTTAATCTTTTAATAATTTCAATTTCATTCTTTTATATATTAATTTATTTTTTAATCAAGTTCTTATTGTCATAAAATATCAAAATTATTAATTAACAAAATCAAGATATAATATCAAAAAATGCTTTATTACCCGAGTTCTTTAATTTTGATGAAGTAAACATACATTCACTCGTAAACATAGTAATTTCATATGATTTTGCACAGTTTTTTTTTCTTTTTTTTTTTGGAATCGATGTCTGTAGCTTACTATGGATTGTTATTGTTAGATATTCAATATATGAATTAAATTTACCAAACCCATTAACTTAAGCTTTTGGGTTGAGTTGTGGTTAATTCATCGTTAAGATGGTATCAGAGCAGAACGCTTTGTGTTTGAACCCTTCCTTGCATCGTTGTTTCTTCCTCATTTATTATGATTTCCACTTGTTAGCTTAAGCTTCTGGAGTTTCTTGCCTAATTTGAACAACACTATAACTAGCATAGGACTTGAAACCAAGACCTTGTTGTAGGTGAATATCATTAGACTAGCATAGGACTTGAAACCGAAGACTTTGTTTCTACTATAATTTTTCTTTCTTTAACGTATCTTTTACCGTCGATTTTACTTTTTTTCTCTCTCTAAAATTTCTCTTTTTGTCTTTAACTTTTCTTTCATTATCTTTCACTAATTTTTTTCCTAAATCATTTTATTTATCTCTCTAAAATTTATCTTCCAAAAGTTAATTTACATATTTCTAAACTTGTATTTTCATGTTCTACGTTAGGGATGACAAAAATTTTCACATGGTCAAGCCTCAAAAATAGGAAATGCATGTCCCGATTCCATTTTTAAAATAATTAGTATATATTTATGAAACTTTTTTATTTTTTAAATTATAAAAGTAATTAAAAACAATTATAACCGATAACTTTTCTCGAGAATATCTCAAACAAGGTGGAGACGAGGATTAAAAATTTTTACGAGTACGAGGATAGAGGAGAGCATCCTCACTCGCACCCACACCATTGTCATGTTTATTCCAGATAGAATTTTCTCTTCTCTAATATGTATTTTCAATTTTATAATTTTTTAAAAATAGATAACTAAAAATGGTTATCAAAGTTTGGTTTTCTATTTTTTAAAAAYAGAAAAACAAAAAATGATTATGAAACATATATGTTTTTGTTTTTTTAAAAACAGGAAATAAAAAATCAAAAACTAAAATGAGACAAAACAAAAACAAAATCAAAAATGGTTATCAAACGAACCTAAAATTACATAAACATGTGGCACGAAAAGAAAAGAGAAAAAGTAGGAATATTAATTTATATAAACTGTTTACAATGGAATAATGGGAGAATAATATGCTTTTATCGTTAATTGTGCCCAAAAACACGGCAAATTTTTCAAATAATTATAAATTAAAAAAGAAATTACAAATTTAATGTAAATTACAAAATAAAATTTAAAAAAATGTAAATAAAATAATAAGTCTTAAATAGGTTCATTTCAAAAAGTATTGACTAAAGTAGGGTAGTTTGGTCAAAGTCAAAACTCGTGTACAATGTACACGTTTTAGACGTAGAAGATGACGTGGAATAATCGTGTACACACGATTTATCCTAAAGCATGTACATTGTACAAAAGTACTCAACTCGTGTACATCGTACACGATTTACCTAAAGTCGTGTACCATGTACACGACTACTGAACTCGTGTACGATGTACACGATTTACCCAAAGTCGTGTACAACGTACACGAGTTCACACAAATTTTGTTTTGTTTTGTTTTTTTTTTTATCTTATCTCTTTAAACGATATTTTATGGTTCAATTTTACTGGTAGAATTCGGGAAGTGGACTTAAATTTAAGTTCAATTATAAACTAAATTCAAATCCATTAATTCAGTTTATTACACGAGTTGATTGAAAAATAAACAAATTGAAATATTACAAAATATAGATAAAAACTCATGTACCACATGGTCGTTGTCTTCACTGACGACCTCCACGACGAGGTTGAAGCCTATCAATATGTGATGCTGGATGATGAATTATATTATCGATATCTTGTTGCGTTACCTCAATAGGTGATAGCTGTGGATGAATTGAACTTGATGCGATATCCATATGAACTGAAGGTGTAGGAATCATAATAAAATCTGACTGAACTGGAGTAGTTGGAATCTGATCTTCAACTGTTGGAGGCTGATCTTGAATATTATCATCTAGGGTGGTTGGCGTCTACGACGAGCGCGCCTCCTCTCAAAGTTGGAAGAAACTGGTCTACTAGTGTCCTCCCGAATGTTTGTGCTTTGAATGAAGTTCTCACATAAAGAACCCAATTACAGTATATTATGTTTTACTGTAATCTTCTGCACTTCACTGACAAAAAAGTTTCACAAAAAAAAAAGCATATAAATTTAAATTAATATCATAATTAATTATTAATTTAAGAAATGTAATACTCACCATTTGATCATAAAAAGCACCTTCGTGTGTAATTTATTTTCTCGTGACAGAACTATATCAATCTAAATACTCAATTAAGGCAGTCGGCCTGTACATCACCTGTTACACATCGGTCACGACGTTGACGCCACATTGTTATATATGCTGCATGTTGGTGTCGTCAATCATGATCATGCTTTCCTCGCAAGTCTACTTTATGTAATTGCGAGTCCGTATCACAATATGATGGAATAGTTTGTCTTAGCCCAAATTGTCGTAAGACCGGATTTGGTTGATGAAACTCAATAATATGAAAACATATAAGAGGACTTGCAGTTAACCATATATCTCTACCATTATGACAATATTCATGCAATAAAGTCATAATATCAAGAGTATATGGTTCCCAATTAATCTAGAACTAATAATAAATGTATTAATAACATAGATATTTATTTATTGATAAGTAGTAAATAAAATACAAATTTTACCTGACCCAGTTGATCAAAACATATGCGATATTGGATCAACATATTTGTGGATTGCTCAGAAGCAATTAAAACTTCAATCCATCTCCAAGTTTATGAAATGAGTTTTAAGTATATAGCATATAGTTTATTATATAAATTTTGAGTATATAACATAAAAAAAATAAACTCATCGGGCACTAAGAGGACGTCCTACGTATTGATCAGGAGTCACTAAATGGTGTTGTGGAGCAATAATGAGAAATCTATCCCAAGCCCATACTTGCAAAAGTATAAGTGGTCCTGCTATTTCTAAAGTATTGGATCGACTAGCTCGACACAATTCTCAATACAACCATGCAAGACATGCACTACTCTGTCCAACTGTCTCAAAATCCGTTAGGACAGGAAGAAACATGAGATGCACAAATGTGTTAGAATTATCCCATATAATTTAAAAAAATAGATAAACATATGGCACGGAAAAAAAAGAAAAAAAGTATGAATATTAATTTATATAAACCATTTATAATGGAATAATGAGAGAATAGTGATGCTCTAATTGTGTCCAAAAACATGCACTTTTGAAGAACTGTTGAAAACGGTTGGGATTCTAGATGACATCCCGAAAGAAGATTTTACTAAGAGAATTTAAGAACTTGAGAGGATGTACTTTGAACTTCTTTTTCTTTTTTGTTTCTTCTTTTTTTCCAAAGTACACGTATTTAGGAAAAATATATATATATTTTGGTTAATTTATAAGAGAAATAATAACCATTGCTAAAATGATTTTTAATGTAAAGTGTAAGAAGTAAAATAAGATTGGTTTAAACGTAGTTTCAATGGATTGGTTATTATAGTTTTAAAAAGTAATTTCAATTTGATCCTTATATATAGGTTTAATTTCAATCGGATTCCTATAAATTTAATGTTTCGATTTACTTTGTGGCTGGGTAAAACTTCACAAATAGTTTTTATCATTATAATTTGTTATTGTATCAAATACGTGACTTGTTTCTACCTAATTTGTTATTGTATCAAATACGTGACATGTTTCTACCAATGAACAAACACTAAGCTAATTGTATTATAGTTCAAGTATAAGTAAAAAATACAGGGAAATTGTTAAGAAATAGTAGTTGTGATGTTTAACTAAATTAGTCCGTCCTGACGCTCTCCCCTTTAATAAGTTTTTAAAAAGGCGAACTTTAGTGCACCTAAGCTGTCTTTTCAATCAATCTCGAGGACCAAATTTGTTATATAGAATATTTTTAAAAATGGAATGTGGAAAATTGATGGTTATATATATTTTATGGTCGATTGAACATTTGGTTTGTCCAAATCGCCTGCAGTACTTCTCATAAACAGAAATATTCAAAATGGAATTATGGGAGAATTGGATGCTTAATTATATGCTTTTATGGTTTTTTAATTTATTTGTTTCTTTGGGGGCAATGTCGTCCAAATTCACATGCACTCCCAAAAAGTGCTCAAAAGTGGTGATTCTTCTTCATGGCATTTTTTAAAGTAAGACTTTTTTAGGGACATTCTGATGGATATATAGGCCTTTTAACTTCACTTCAGTATCCTTTGCACCGAAAGATCGGGCTCTTTTGGTTCATCGATCTTGGTCGGATACTATTTTTTGATCAATTACTCGTTTGAGCGTTTTTCACTCTGATACCATATCACTATTCATGTGGTTCCATTTTTAAAATCAGTTGGCAATAAGAGATTAGCTAATGTCTATAATAAATATATGTAAGGTCCCTTCTTTTATCAACATGTGATCCTTAATATGATTGTAAATGGTGTATTTTTATCTTTTAATTTCTAGAAATAAGTTTAAATAATTCCTCAATCATGTGGTAACCAGAGTTGAAATCTATAAAAAAAATATGGATTATCTTTTCTATAAGACATTTTGTTGGCCAAATACATATAAAAATATAAACTTGAAATGATTAAAATATCTTTCCCACATTTGTTTGTACAATTTTTACTTAATCACTACCCATCTAAAAGCTTAATTTAGTTAACGTTGGTTGTGATATACACCTCCACAAATTTGTGCCCGTTAAATCCTTTATCTTGAAACGTAGCTTCATATAGAGTATGAGATAGGCACAGTTTGAATGTCAATTGTATATAATATATGATATCTAGAAAAGAGACAATAACAAGAAATATATAAGTAGCCAGATTAGTCTTGTTATGAAAAACATATGCGTGTACTAATTAGCAATAAATAAAGTACAATATCGAGGTAATTAAGGATGTTTGCATGTGGGACGAGAAAGGCTTCCTGCCCTCATTTAATCTCCACCGTGCAAAATTTCCCATGAGATTTCGTGGGGATTGGAGTAGTGATTCCGTACGAGGAATTCGTGGGAATCGAGTTTCCTACATGAAAGTTACCCAATTTATTATTTTATTTTTTCAATTATTTTCAATAAATATTTTTTATTTCTAAAGAAAATATTATTTAATTGATTAATTTCTAAAGATAAATCCTCGTTAGGTAAAGAAGAATACATCACTTTTTTAGTATGTATATATACAAAGAGGATAATAAAATTATTTTAGTGAGTAGATATATACAGGTATTAAAAAAACTGATGTGGGGAAGGAAACGGGAAATGGAGTCGATTTTGAAGGGTAATTGAGATTTTTTACCATTTTCAATAATTAAGTTGGATTCTTTTACACCTTTTTTAAAAATTCTTACTTGTGACCGCTAAACCCTTTTTTTTTCCTCTTTTCATTTTTTTCACTCGTGTAAATAGTAAAACACCCTCACATCTTCCATTTTTCTAACTTCTTATTTTCTTTTCATATTTTCTCTTTTTGTTTTCAATTTTTTCCATTTTAATAAAATATGCCCAAATTTTGAAACTTCATAAAAATAAAATTATAAGTGAATTAATGTCGATCCACTATATATATATATATATATATATATTTCTTTTACCATTTTCAATTTTAATCAATAGTTTGAACTCCATTTTCTTGTTAGTTAGCACCCCAAGATTTCTAAACCACTACCATAAAATTTATAATTTTCAACGTAATAGCTTTTATTTTGATAAAAGTTTATTAAGTTGTTTTTAACTCTAAAATATATTATAATATATATAAAAATAAGAGGCAGTTTAACATAAATTATTAACAATAATTTTATGATGAAAATTACATAAATTAATTTTAGTTATTTATAAAATTACAAATTGCATAATATTAACATAATAATTAAACGTTTGGAATTATTTTTTAATTAGAAGAAAAAATATGCTCCTCGTGGTAGTAATTAAACTAGTATAAATTAAAGAGAATCTTATAATGTAAAAATATCAGAAAAGCTCCAAAGTAAAAAATATCCGCCACATATATATATATATATTATATACATAAGTACAAATATGGGAATGAATAAAGCATTTAAAATAAGAAAGAAAATAAAAATGGAACTGGCGAATGATGCTTCCATGGCTGCTCAAACTCAAATTCAATGCCTTAGCTAAAGAAATATTGTCATATGTGTCATTTGATGCTCAAATTCAATGGCTTTGCTCAGAAAAAGTGTTGAGATATTCTTGTCCTTTCGATGCCCACGGCTGACTGCTCCAGGTTTGTTTAATATAATTTTGTCCCATCATTCCAACTGCTATAAATTCACCCATTCACCTCTACATTTCTCCACAGTTCATACAGTTTTATTTATCAATTTCTTTCCTTTAGCTCTCAGTTTAATTAATTTTCTTGATCTGTAAAGAGATTTGGAAATGGCAGAAATGGGGAAAGTGGTATCATGCCGCAGTGTTGGGTCATGGAAGCAGCAGCTTCTCAAAGCCAAAAAATACAACAAACTGGTATTGTATTATTACATATTCTTCATTCTTCCACATGTTTTTGACGTAGCTAATCAACCAATTTTCATTATTGACAGGTTGTGGTGAAGTTCACTGCGACATGGTGCGGCCCATGTCGAGCCATGGCTCCTGTTCTTGAAGACTTGGCCAAGAAGACGAGCAATGTCATATTCTTGAAAGTGGATGTCGATGAGCTAATGGTAAATTAATTACTGCTTAATCTTATTCATTAACCTGGCGGCTAAGTGTGGATTATTTACATTTTTTTTTCCTCCTTTTCTTTGCGCAGAGAGTTGCTAATGAATTGGGAGTGGGTGCCATTCCTTCCTTTCAATTTTTCAAAAATGGGAAGTTGGTGGACAAGTTCGTGGGTGCAAACAAAGATTTATTAACAAACACTCTATCAAAACATGCCGCATGAAACCGCTCTACAAGGATGAAGGATGGATATATATAATAGAGAACAATTAATATGCTGAAAAATAAGTTTAGCAAAATTAAGTTTTCTTCTTTTTTTTTTTTTTGTGAGTTGATCAAACGGGGTATTCTAACCTCTACCTTCAAGTGAGGCTAATAATTAATGTTCTATTGTTAATAAGTTGAGTTATGTAATCTTCAACTTCTAACCTTTTTAATTTAAATGTTTATGTGCTATATTGAGAATTTGAGATCATATTCGTCCTTTTTTATAACCTCTATCCGATTGATATTTTGTCATATTTATCATATCATGTTTGAACTCAAGACCTTATAATAGGTGAAACCATATGTTTGAAGGCTCATCCCTATTACGCCATCCCAAATAACCATAATTTAGCAGAGTAATTGACCTAAAATTACTGTGAACTATTAATAGGTTGGAATGCTAATTGACAACCTCATAGAAATGATTTATTTTGAATTTTCATATCTAATATTAGCAATCATAAAGATTTTAATTGAATAAATTAAGGTTAAAAAATGCATTTGGTCCCTGTACTTTTACTGAAATAACAATTTAGTCCCTGAACTTCAGTTTGTAATAATTTAGTCTCTATACTTCCTCTAACAATTTAGTACCTCAATTTTAACTTGTAACGATTTAGTCCCTGTAGTTTAAAATTTGTAATAATTTAGTCCTTAATTATCGTAAAAAGTTTTATTAAAATTAAATGTCAAATTTTATTATATAACAATTTAATCTTTCTAATTCATAAACATATTTGGTCCCTCTTTAGTTTACCAATCTATAGACATGCAACAAACTTAAAAAAAAAAAAAAAAAATCAGATAAGGAGTAAATTTTACCAACTTTAAAATATAAAGATTAAATTGTTACATATTAAAGTTCGATGACTAAACTGTTACCAATTTTAAAGTATAGGGACTAAATCGTTACACACTAAAGTTGAGATCGAGACTAAATTGTTACTTTACAGGGATTAAAAGTGTTTTTTAACCATAAATTAAATAGATAAATACGAAATTGAAAAACGACCCAAATAGGGACAAAAGTATATAATTGGCCAGAAACTTTCAATCCTAAACAATTAGGTTAGAGTCCAAAATATCTCTCACCTGATCAACTCAAATCCAACTCCTGAATTACAGTCCGACAAAATAGGGTATAATATATATATTAGAACTACGCCTAATTTATTGTTTATAAACTTCAATAAGAGTTTATGAATTCTTACCCCACGTATTGGATTAAAAAAAATCTCAAACCTATGGACCGTAATRCAAAAAGTTGAATGAAAAAAAAAAAAAAAGTAATATCATTGTGATATGATATCACCTACAGATTAGTTTCCTTTTATTAACGATAATAAAGAAATTTAAAGGTCAAGTAAAAATAATCTAAAATATTATTGAAGTCGTCTCTGTCTTTTGTGTGAAATATTTTTGGAGCCGTCTTATGAACAATATAGACTCTATAGTATAGAGCACCCCACACAAACGTCGAAATGAAGATAAGTATTTAAAATTAAATGTAAAAAACAAATTCAAAGTTTTTTTAGTAAAAAGAAATCAAAGTAGAAAATTAAGGAACAGATAAATATGTGGCACGAAAAAAAAATATAGATATTAATTTATATAAACTGTTTAAGATGGAATAATGGGAAGAATGATGCTTTTATGGTTAATACTTAATTGTGTCCAAAAACATGCACTTTTGAAGAACTGGTGAAAACGGATTGGATTCGAAAGAAGATTTCTTTTTACTTCTCTTTTCTCCCTCAGAGATTAAGAGAATTTAAGAACTTGAGAGGATGTATTCTCATTCTGTACCATTTTTTTTTCTGGYAAAAGTATACATATTTGGCAAAAATATATATTTTTGGTTAATTTATAAAAAAAGTAATGACAATAGCTAAAATGATTTTTAATGTAAATTATAAGGAGTAAAATAAGATTGGTTTAAACTTAATCTCAATGGATTGGTTATTATAGTTTTAAAAGTAATTTTAATTCGATTCTTATGATTTAGGTTTAATTTCATACCTATGATTTTAAAAGTTTCGATTTATTTTATGATTTAGGCTAAGAGATTAGTACATTGATAGACCTTTTAGAAATGGTAATTACACAAATGGATTTCTTCTACAAAATTTACACTTTGATCTTAAAATACACYYYYTWA